TTCACGTTTCTACGTAAAGTATTTGTCTTATCACTACTCCTTAATTTAGTAGTATTATAATACGTCCAATGTTTGGGAACAGCTTCAATTTTAGGTGTTTTTAATGTCAATTTCTTTTTTCATTAATTCTAAATGCATTTATATTTTGACATATTAAAGAACCTTTTTCCAGTTTGTTTACATTTTGTCTCAGAGGAAGATAAATAGACTATATAATATGCTCCGAAACTACGAGAACAATTTACAAAATTCTTTCATCTACCTAGAACCTCCAACATATAGGCTATAATGAACACGGCTGAAGTCGCGGGAAGACAGCAAGTTTAGTAATAAATTGCTTATTTCGGATGAGCACATACTACCATTATAGTAATAAATAGTAATCCTAAGTAATACTTACAAGTTAATATTCTTGAAGAATTCCGCTAACATTTTAAATGCGTCGTCGAAGACTCGTACCAGTTGAGGAGTGGTGATGTGTGAGGTGACCGGTTGGAACACCAGATGGTGGTTCAGACGCTGTAAGCTACGGAAGTTGTGTCTGCCAACGCCCACCTTGCCGAACATGCGGTACTGTAGATAAAACGTTCGTTTTGACCGAAAACCGATGCCAAAAGAAGAGGTTTTTAAATCGACTACAAAACAGGCGCAGTAGTTCCCGCCACTCGGACCATATTTACTGGAACCGCGGCCCTTGTCGGGTTGATTTAGTTTTAATTCTATTCTTTTAACGACTGGGACCACCTATAAATTAATAATAAAATCTAGCCAACACAGTACAGTCTAATAAAGTAAATGTTTAAAGTAAGAAAGGAAAACCTCTTTAGTTCAAAAATATGTTGACTATACATATAAATCAATTATATTTTTCTCTGGAGATTTAATTTTACGTAAAACGTTTCGTTTTCATCTGCGTTTAATGATTTTGAGTTGAACAATAAATTTTTTATACTTTGTTATACTTTACTTTAAGTCGCGAAGAAAAATATTGAAATTAAATCAATTCGGCAATTGGGACAGAGCGGTTGGAGTTTATGCGGTGCCAGTCGCCAGAAACTTGAACACTGCGTTCTCAAGTATTAGAGGTTCTATCAAATTAATCCGACTTTGAAAAGTAATAAAGCAAAACAGATGTTTTACCGATGGCAAAAGAGCAGATTGTTTCATTAAACGGACTTAAAAAATCTATACTTGTTGGAAAGTTCTTTAAAATCTGAATGTGAAATATTTAATAATTCACCCACGAGTCATCTTGTTGAACAATAATTATTCAAAAATAATCTATGCCATTGCCGACAATTAAAACATGGAAGTTTGTCGCCGCAACAATGTTGTATCATATCTTAACATTTAATGCAAATATAATTATAATACTCACGTCAGCATCGGAAAGATAAATGGGCGTGTCGAATATAATCCAGATGACTGCTTCATTGCACTCTGGCGAGGTGAGCGACCCGGCGTACGTGTAGTAAGACTGCATATTTGGACTCATTAGTTTCCTTTAATAAAATTAAAATATAGTCATCAACATATAGCATAGTAGTTTAATTATAAAAATCAGTTAAGTGCCAGTTAGACTCGTGCGCAGGCCCGATTGTACCTATGGTGCAGGGGGCTTAAGACAGGCCTGCTCGTGCGTGAAGCTTATAGGTAAATCTATAAAAAGCCACTAAAATCACGTCTTTGGTGTAGGAGCCCCCTTAAATATTTATTTAATTCTATTTTTTAGTATTTGTTGTTTATAGCGGCAACACAAATACATTATCTGTGAAAAGTTCGACTGTCTAACTAACAAGGTTCATGAGATCTAACCTTGTGACAGACGGACAGACAGATGGAAGGTGGAGTCTTAGTAATAGGGTCCCGTTTTACCCTTGCAGTAAGAAACTATAAAAATAAATCGCTTAATATGTTGCTAAGCGAAAAACGAGAAGAATGGCGTACTGGTAAACGCACTAGAATTAAACCTCCTTATTGGAGGTTAATTGGAGCGACAATTTGTGGAAGCTGGTAGGAGCTGGGGGTAGAAGATTGTTGGGAATAACTCAAAACAGGGAAAAATAAAGCGTATTGGGGAGGCTTATGTCCAGCAGCGTACTTTTACAGAGATTTTGCAACTTAAGAAAGGTTTGCTTGTATCAAAAAAACACTTGTGCTTCAGAAGGCACGTCAAGCCAAGTCCCGGCTGCATTTACAGTTATTACCCACCCCCTTTAACACTGTAATGGTCGTTCTTCTTATTTAAGGTCTATTTTCATGCCACAGGGAAATGAATATTGGACTGATTTGATTTGGTACGCTTATGTAAGAAATAAATATATTTTATGATATATTATTGTATTTATAATAAGTAAATTATTATATATTAGATGCACTGTATAAGTCGCAAAAATGTAAATAAATTACCAATATTAATAACAAAATTAGATATTTATTAATTTAAAAGAAATATTAAAATATTCTTTGAAAAAAAAATGCCTTTTATACAAATAAAGAATTTATGAATATGCCATTGAAGAAATCCTCAATTTCTAAGATTTTAAAAATTATTTATTGCTAAAAATTACACGAGATTAAAAATGTGGGAATATAATATAATATTCATAACAAAGGAATAATGTGATATTAATTTAATAATAATTTGTTTGGAAAAGCTGTAATGTAACATTAACTTTAAAATTGTAATTTTATTAAAAAAAATATATGATTTATTGTATGTATAATAATAATAAAATGAAATCAGTTAATCAAAAACTCAAATATATAAAAAATAAGAATATCTTACATTTCGAACGACAAATCTAAACAGAGAACAAATCAATAATCCTTATGGCTCACCACAAAACGTCAGGAGAGAAATTATGTAGTCTAGGTCATATTAATTGAACCACATACTTCAATTTGTCCATAAATTTGAGAGTAATTTATTAATTACTAAGCTTGAAGAATTTCCTACTTCATATTCATTTCCTTTCTTTAATGGTCGATTTGTAGAATTCCTAATGATTTATGACTAACAGAAGAGTTGCTTGCAGTATTAATTAATGATTTGTATTATTGACTAGCTGGTGCCCGCGACTTTGTTCCCACAATTCGATCCTCACATACATCTTTCGCCTCTTTCACAATACTTATTTTTGATTATAAAAATAAGTATTGTGAAAACGCTATTAGCGTTTCGGTTATATTATAAAATAAATAAATTTAACAATTTTAAACACTTGAGGTATTATTTCTACTGTTCTACTGAGAATGTCATACTGGCGCCCAACGTGGGGCTCGAACCTACGACCTTGGAATTAAGTCTCATGAACTGGATGGTATACCGAGGTAAGTACATCGCACTAATACTGCTCTCTAACATAGGTAGGTGCTTATAGTTACATTAAAACCTACCATTTTCTCCCGAATTTGCCTGCGTAAATTTTTAGTCTAGTTGTCACCCGCGAATGTTATAGCTTCCCGTATGTGAAAGATTTTCTCAAAAGCAACTGGTCGTTGCCTCTTTTTATATAATTGTATAACAAAATGAATGTGATTTTTAATAGGTGAGTATTATTTAGTATTGACACAGATATAAAGAGTAAATGTATTATAGTCATATTATATTTTATTACAATATCAGTGTAATTATTATGTGTCCTTTAGCCTATGTCACTTAGACGATACAAAAGATAAAATTCCAGATAAAATAGAACTAGAATTGTATCTTATGTCACTTTGTAGAATAGGAAAACCATTGAAAACTGTAGTTTCGTTCGGTTTCGATCCGTTTTCGATTCGATTTAAATAAAATTTATTTTGTAGAATTGGCCCCCTGTTAAATGCGCATACAGTCATAGGTGCTATAAATTATAATATATTAATTATAATAATTTAAAGTAAAGTGAATTATGTATTTCATAAAACTTATTTAGATTTGATATAACCATAAAAAGTATTGATTATAGTCAATTTAAATAATTATTTAAATTCAAATACAAAAAATAACTTACAAATTTCAATATTATATTTAATTTTTGTCAATGTCAATGAGTATGTATGCAACCGGGATATTAATCAGTAATCGAAAAATATCTGTTCTGTTATTTCTGATATTATAACCGAAAGTGACTTTCTTAGTCTAATGAAATGACTTTCCAATAAGACTTGTGCGAAATAAAACAGGGAGAAATAAGCAGCCCTTGCTGAATTTCTTGCCGGTTCATCTCGTACAAGGTCTCCCGCCGTAGTTTTGCGAACCGATGGCATAGTTTTCGATTTTCACAAGTGCTTGTAACAACCTAGACTGAATTAATGATTTTGTATTAACTTAGTCCTGATTTATTGATATTCTTTATACTTACGTCATATCCATTAGGACCCCGCTGATTCTATCGCCAGTGTCCAGGAGTTTTGGTATGTATTGCATTATTTCTGCTGACGCTTCCTGTTGATGGTCGTCCAGCTCGGCTTGCACCTACATTATGGAAACAAAACTGTGTTATCAAATTGATTGGAGACTGGTGGTTGTTAATCAAGGGATTGAAAAATGTAAACCAATCTTGAGAAAGTTTAAGGAGTCTATAAGAAACAAGTGTGGTGGTGGTATAGTGGATAAGCGCCACGGCCCGCGATCGTTGTCGTTAAGCAACTTTCGCAAGGGTCGGTCACGGGATGGGTGACCAAAAAATTATTATCTCGAGCTACTCTGTGCTTCGGAAGGCACGTTAAGCCGTTGGTCCCGGCTGCATTTGAAGTCGTTAATACCCTCCAATCCGCATTGGGTCAGCGTGGAGGGTCATGGCCCATCCTCCTTAACCATCCATAAGGAAGGCCTGAGCCCCTGCAGTGGGGACGTAAAAGGGCTGGTGATGATGATAAGAAACACGTAGTTTTTCAAAAATCAATAATTTTTGAATTACTTTTATTCAAAAAAGCGCCTTGCGTTTTAAGTCTGCTAAGAAACAAGTCTCCAGATTTTTATGAGAGAAAATAAGATCGGCTATATCATTGTTGGCGTGGCACCTGCTTAAAGCTTTGTGTTGGCAAAGTTCTACTCTATCCCTGTACGACAAGTAGGTATATAAGAAAGGTATTAAATAAGCTCATATAGCTCACATTACAAAAGACGGAGAGTATAGCCAGTCCATCCTTGCTGACCAGCGCGTCTCCCACCGTAAGGTCTGCTCTAACGTGTACGAAGTGAATTTCCATTGGATACCTGAACAATTTATAAGTATAAGTATTAGTCGTGTAGTGTTAAAGTAATATAATTCCAGATGCATGTTTTTTAAGTGTTCAGAACCCAAAGAGTAAAACGAGACCCTATTATAGACTTCGTTGACCATCCATCCGTCTGTCACCAGATTGTTTCTCATGAAGTGTTAAAGTTAGTCAGTTGAAATTGTCACTCATGACGGTATTTGTAACAACAAATACTAAAAAATCTAATAAAATAAATATTTACAATAAAGTACTTTTTGCTCGTTTCCGGTACGGATCATCCCGTGCGGGAGTCTAGTTGAAGTCGTCTGAGTCGCACCAATAAATATTTTTTTGTTGTTAGTTTACATAACGTAGGAACAGCTCCTGTCTGACTTATTAAGAAAAGTTTTCTACCGTTTTGAAGAAGAAGAAGTAAAGAAGATTAAAAAGCTTCTCACTCACTTGTTCCCATTGACTGAATGTTCAGATAACCAGTGGAAGTGTAGCTGCTCGAGTCTGTAAAGATGTTGTAGAGGACCACCGGTCACTGTCGGGTGGATGGCTTCCTCGCCTTCCGAGCTGAACTGCACTGTAAAATATGATGACTAAAATTCAATAACGTGTATTCGAGGAATCAAATGGCTCAGTAGTTAGTGCGCTTAGTTTGCGTTTGTGGATCTTATGGTTGGGCATCATAACAAAAAAGGAGACGAAGTCGACGTGCCCATTCATGTAATAACGCCATGCGTATTGCGCGTAAAAAACATTATGATAATAGTGATGATGATTAAATTTTTTTTGTTTGTCCGTCAGGTAGATCGTTGAAAATATGAAACAAGTATTTTCGTTTTTATTTATTGCGTAATCTATAAATTACGGCGATTCATTGTATGAAATGTTGCATGATGTCACGCTTTTGTAAATTTTATACAAAACTGTGACGTAGCGAGCCCCCACTCCTCAAATTTAATGTGTATAATCTAAGCCATTTCTTGTTTTAAGCAAAAAAAATACGTATCTAATAATTTTTATATTATCTGGCTGATGGACTAAATAGATTTTATTTTTACCCAGTCGTCATCTCTATTGTAAAAGTCTTTCAGTTACGAAATTACTAGCATAATTATAATTTTTCTCTAAAATAACAGTAGAATAAAGACTACAAAGAAAAAAATGACGCATTTCAGGAGAAACTTTGGTATTTTTCCGTCTGGAAAATTTTGACTGTGACAGAACCGCAAAAATATACCTACCTGCATGCTCTGTTTGGGAAATGCTCCTATAACATAACTTCCCGCCCATATGGAGGAAGCAACAAGGCTTTTTAAAAGCACAGGAGTCTGAGTTAGCGGTTTACCAGAAAATATGCCTCGCTTTAGTATGGATAGAGGATAAGCACAGGATAAGCGATAAAGGTGTGGTTTTAATAAGAAAGAAAGAAAAATAATCATGTAGTATTCTGATTTTTACATACACTTTGTTTGGACGCCATTTCTTTTTATAAAACCTATTGAAAATAGATGATATTTTGTATTTATGTTCGCTTAAAAAACCATTGTAAATGTCGGCCATAAGTTTGGCGGCGGAATAACTATTATCTCAAGCTCCTCCGTGTTTCGGAAGGCCCATTTGGTCTTGGTCTTAGCTGCAACTACATTAGTTCATTCTTATCCATCTACTATGTGATTCATTATTATCACCAGTCTAATTGATCTTTACTTCTTCACAAACCATCCCTGTGTATGCAGTCATATCGATTCGAACAAGGAGAATAGGCTTCTATGGACCACGTGGGATTAGTGGGTGTTAACATAGAACATTTAAAATAAAACCTGAAGACAAATACATAACAGGAAACGTGTTACAATGTCACTTTATTTGTAGTAGAAAAAAGAACGTAATACCTATTCATTGTATAGCCATGAAAAATATGCTTATGTGTAATAAATAGTTCTATTATCACTTCCTGTGTTGTATGTATTGATTTAATCGGCTCAATTAAAAGTTTCATGTAACTTATCATGTTTATTTATTAAGTGATTGCCCCTGTAGGTACTGGCTATATAAATATAAAATTATATCTTAAATTCATTAAAAATAGGAGAATAAATTATGATTAAAAAGTAAAAAACTGTTTCGCAGTTTTTTTCTCTGAAAATTATATTTTTACTAATTTGAAATCACTCTTTTGACTCTAGTAAAATATATCTTTTATAGAATTAATGACGAAACGGTTATTATGTAATCTCAGGTGACGCTTTATTTTTAACAAAATTATTGAAATTCAATTCGATTATATTAAAAGTACTTTTTTGGTAACTTTGTTTGTGGCTAGCTTATTATAAATCGAGGGTTACTTTAGTACTAGGTTTTAACTGTGATCACAGCAAAACAAATCAACATCTCAATTTAAGGTTTTCTATTATGTCATTGCAAAGATTATACTTTGGTCGTTGTTAATTTGCGTCGGTTTAAACCAAGAATTAACTTTAGTGTTTGTTTTCTAGTAAGACGGGAAGTCACACACCCGATTTCTGAATTGAGAAATTAAAGTTAAGAACGTGTCAAACAGTACTTAAACTATCGTAAACGTCACTTAAACAGATATTCGTTTCTGATAAGCAGTTTCATAAAACTGGCATTTTATGCCTTATGAAACGTAAAAATTTTAAGTTATCGAGAATAATCAGTACAGATTTTGTACTTTTCTCAATTCAGAAACCAGCCAAAGAAAGTTGTATTTATTATTGTGATAATACATATTATTTTGGTAATGACATGATTTATGTAAATGTCATTTCATAACTTATGATAAAAAGCTGGTAAGTTTCTTTCGCTTGTTCTTCTTGTCAGCTAAAAGACGTCCTGAACAAGTGGTAGGGGAAAAAAGTTTTTTGGACGATTCAAAAGTGCTTGTAATAGCCTACTTGAGTAAAGATATTTTCATTTCATTTCATTTCAGCCGTATGTGATTATTTTACTTTAGATGGAAATTATGGACTAGGATGAATGGAGATGTTTGTTCATTTTTTTAATGCGTGTGCGTGTTTTTTATTTTGTACGGTAACTAAACGTTTAAGTAGATAATATGCGTTTGCCCTAACACAATAACTTAGTTCCTATCAGAATTTAATTACAGCCTTGAACTCGATTATTGCACCTCATAGGAAAGTTTAGCAACGATCAATTATACTCGTACATAGTTCGCGTATACTTTATAATGGATCAATTATTATTTGATACATAAATAATAGATACTCATGTAGGTCTTGGGTAGATAGTAATGGTATTAGGAATTTATAATAGAAAATCAATTAAAACGACTTATCTAAACTATGTCTTAAAATAATTACTACACTAAATAAAAAATGTCTCCCAGATAATTGCCAACAGGTAAGGTACTGTAACGTCCGAGCACATTACTATAGGTAGGGTTTACTCTTCGGACGGTTTATGGTCAAGTGCTGGCCGTTAATATTTTAAATTATTACTTTTTTATACTCGAATTCGCGTGTTCGTGTTTTGCTGGTGAATAGTCTTTCTTTCTGATCGAGACCAGCTTAGGGTGAGCATCGTAGTATAATTATTGTAAGTGCTTAACTGTAATTCTTATCAGAAATAAATCAAGACTAAGGAATGCTACCAGTTTTTTCATTGCGCCACCCACCTCCACCATTAGACTACGTTGCCATAAGTCGCCACAGTACCCAGAAGGCTGCGAGCGTTTCCTCTTTGAATAGCCAAAATAAGGGTGCGAGCAGAAGGGCGCGTTGCACCCCCTGCACCCAGCACCATGGCTAAAGACGGGCCTGTATCTAATATTTGTTTGTAGGTCCGTCGGGGAGTTTAATAAAGAATATTGAACACGTATTTTTCTTTTTTTTGCGTCATCAATAAATTAGTCCAATATATTAAGTTAAAATGTGGTTAAAACTATAATACATATGATCTACGCATTTTCTTGTTAAATTGAAGCAAAAAAATACGTGTCTAATATTTTTATATTATCTTACTGAGTAGCTGGCGTAGTGGCGCCGCGGCACGCGATCGTTGTCTTTAAGCAACTTTCGCAAGGGTCGGTCACGGGATGGGTGACCAAAAAAATATTATCTCGAGCTACTCCGTGCTTCGGAAGGCACGTTAAGACATCCATAACCATAACCATCCATAAGGAAGGCTTAAGCCCCTGCAGTGGGGACGAAATAAAGGGCTAATGATGATCTGACTGACGGATTAAGCAGTTTTTTTCACAGGCATCATCTCTGTAGTGGCAGGTTTTAAGAAAAATCATAAGTATCATACTATACTCAATATATAAAATACCTGTATGTCCGTTATTAATGCCGGAGACCAACGCCCTGTGGTACCCGTTGAGCTTTAGGGAGCCGTACTTGATGAACTTCTTCGTGTAGTCCTTGACCACGTCTGATGTCCGGATATCGATGGGCGACTGCCTCTTCCCGCCTTCCTTACATTTCAGTCCGGGCCATTTAGATTCATCTAGAAGCAAAGAGTACATACGCTTTTTAAAATTGAAATAAAACCTTTTTTACGAAAGAATTCTTTACTATATATATAATAATAATATAAATGCGAAAGTAACTCTGTCTGTCTGTTACTTAATCACGCCTAAACCACTGAACCAATTTGCATGAAATTTGGTATGGAGATATTTTAATATCCAAGAAAGGACATAGGCTACTTTTTACCGCGGGAAAATGACGCATTCCCACGGGAAAATAATCTAAATATATATAACTCAAAGGTGATGACTGACATAGTGATCTATCAACGCACAGCCCAAACCACTGAACGGATCGGGCTGAAATTTGGCATACAGGTAGATCTTATGACGTAGGCATCCGCTAAGAAAGGATTTTGATCAATTCTATCCCCAAGGGGATAAAATAGGGGATGAAATTTTGTATGAAACTTTGTCAATTTTGAACCGACGGGGCTGAGATTTTGTATAAATAGGCAACTATGAGGCAGACATTCTCTAAAAAAGGATTTTGATTGATTCCACCCCCAAGGGGATAAAATAGGGGATGAGAGTTTGTATGAAACTTTGTCAATTTTAAGGGCTGAAACTTTGCATGAATAAAGCTACTATGACGTAAGCATCGCCTAAGAAAGGATTTTGATAAATTCCACCCCTAAGGGCATAAGCTAAGAGGATAAGATTTTTTTCAGGTATTTTAAACGATATAATGAATAAATATTCGTTAGAAATTCTGCTCAAAGTAACTTTACCACGCGGACGAAGTCGCGGGCAAAAGCTAGTATATAATACGAAACGATTTTTTTTCATAACAAGTTATGAAAAATCGTTTAGTACAAAAGTTAGTAGGTGGTTTAAACCATTATTTGCCTAAACCAAATTGACAATGACAGAAGAGAAAACATCAAGTAGAGACATGTTGACCTATTTAAAAGTTAATCCAATTACTTTACAATAAGAACTTAGGTTGGTGCATATCTGACGGAAGATTAATTGCGTCTCGTTGGTCAGGAAATGTCGGAGCTGACAAAATTATAATGCTGACAATTATGTGATACTGACTTTTCGCGACTTCACGCGCGTAAATTTTAAAATGGGCACAGTAGTTTCGGTGCCTCATCATCATCATCATCATCAGCCGGAAGACGTCCACTGCTGAACATAGGCCTCACCCTTTGAACGCCACGACGGGCGACATTGCGGTGCCTAATTAATGCTAACAAAGATTCAAATATTTCCTTTTTATGTTATTAAATGACATTCGACCTAACAGACTCGATGGAAATTCCGCACGTACAAACACATACCTACTTCTGTGTGACGCACGACGGATCTTACTTCAGGTTTAGCGTCAGAGTGAATTTTCGCTAAAATTGCAATTTCAGTATTAGTTCAAATTCATTTTATACAGAGAATAAGCAAACCTACTACCTTCTAGAGTGAATATTTCTCACGAAGAACCTCGTACTAGGTTAACCTTCGCTATGCCACGGTATAATAACATGAGTTTTGAATAATACTAAGTACAGTTCAACTTTACTCCAAATTTACTCCAGCGCTAGATCTTGTTCATAAAATAACACTAAACGTCTTGACATTTAAGCTTAAGCTTAAAATTTATAACACAAATTCGTTGCTGTCGGTACATTCAATAAAAAACGATCACTTACTGTCGTAATTCCAAAGTGGTTCCTTGTACATATTTGATGCAACTAATTCTGAAAATAAATAAATATGGATATACATTTTTAAAATACCTACGTAATATATTAATATAAAATACTTAAAAATTCTTAGTTCTCGAATTTTATTGAATAAGTAGATTATAAAAAACGTCTAAATGAATTTTCTCAATTCCAACTCAATTTCAAGAATTTCGATTGTATTATTATTATAAAAATTAAAAAAAAATATTATCGCTATGCTATGTTAATATTTATTTGGAAAATACTTGTAACAGATTTAGCAAGGGGTCGTTGGTTCGAGCCCAGATTTCAGAAGGCCTACTCTGACATTCGTATATTTTTGAAACGCTTATACGACTCCAAAGACACCCAATTTTGGATATTTTTTAATATAAAAATTGACATATAATCTTCAAGGTAATTTTAAATAAAATAATAACGTTTCAAAATTTTCGTTCGTGATTTTTTCTTCCCGCTAAAATTTTCCTCGCTCCACCAAAAAAAAAAATAAAAAAAAATCTCTTCGCCTTGCGACTGATATTGTGGCGGCTTCCCCCCCCCCCCCCCTTATATTTAAGAAAGAAAAACAATTTCTAATATTTTTCTAGAGTCAAGACCTTATTAGTGACCAGAAAATCTAAGTGCAACACATAGCTCACCAAAAAATACCAAAGCCCCCACAAACTGTAACCTATACCCTGACATGATCACCACTGAACACATCACAGTCCACTGAAACCAACACAATGGGACGAAATTTATTTATAATGACGTAAGATGCAATGTTATGTTTGTAAAACAAATGGTTTGTTTATAATGTATTGATGAATTTTGATCCGTGAGCGATTTATATAAGATGCTGTTGACTTTTCTGTGTTTATCTCGTTTTATCTCAGGCGGTGTAATTTGATTTTTGTATGGATTTATAAAATATAAACATGTTTCATTGAAAATTATTATCTTACATTTACACCGTAATGGACTGCATTTCTTGACATTAGCGTCTTCGAACACACAAACATGGAAATCTTACAGCTCTACTCTTTATGTGCCACTTAGCAAAAAAGGAAAGGGTAATAATTCCAATGCATAACGTTCTATGAGCTACTTATGCCTGTTTTTACTAAACTTCACCCAAATCTGTCGCCCAAATATTTAGGAATCTCCTAAGGCAAAAATGCATTTCACCATTGACTAGAAACAACCTTACGAATTTAAGCAATGTCTAAAATTATGATCTTCGTTATGCGACGCATTGCACTAGGCATTTGCGTATATGCCGGGTCATAAATATGTCAAAGGATAAACGAAAAATATATTTAAGTGGATTTAAATTAATCTGCTTAGGCTATAAGTAATATTAGGAGTTTCCTAGTTAAGCTATGCCTCGTTCTAGGTTAGTGAAAATGGGTGTTAGTATCTTTGCATTCAATTTTTTCCAGAGTAGGTAAAACTGCATATATGATACAATTACAAAAAAATACATCAGAATTCTGAAGTGAAAATATTATTAATAACTCAATTATTGTAACGATACCACTCGATTTTAAACCTTAAAAATTAAAATTCAATTTCTAATCACACCGGAAACTAATGTGCAACAATTCTACATTGACCGCCGCTCTGCGCATGTTTTTTTGAAAGAGCGCCTTGATTTATTATGTATTTATGGGAGTATCGAGTTTCTATAAGGCATATAATTTATGACTAACATTCAAGTCACCTAGACAACAATCTCGTGTTCGAAAATATGTCAAAAAGATACTCCTTGAATGGTGTTTTCCATCGGCAGTTTAAACTGATTCGCCCTAACTCACGTATAATCATATTATTCTTTAGAACTTAATTTTAAAACTTTTAGGTCGATAACTGTAATTGTTAAAGTGCAATACTCATTTCAACATTCATTTGGCTTTCTTGTACGAATTTCAGTTAATGAGTAAAGCGTAGGACGTATCGATGTTTTTTAATTAAATATTGTCTATGTAATCACCTGAGTCCTATCTCCATGACATTAGAAAAAGAAAGCAGTAAACAAGTACCTTACTGAATTTGGTGTTTTCCAATATTTAAAAGACTTCTTAAGTACATGACACAAGTTATTAACCCATGAATGATTGAGTGAATGCGTATTCCACATTACCATACTAACAAATAATTACAACAATCCATTTATATTATTTTAGATTTCTTCCCGCAATTTCGCCCGCATAAATTATAGCATGTCACTCGCGTATGATGTAGCTAACCGTAAGTGAAATAATTTTCGTCATCGGATCAATCTCTGAAGATTGCCCTCCTATAAACAAAAAAGTTAGAAACATTATCTCTTCATAATATTAGTGTATATGTATAAAAGGATATATATATAGTATAAGAGGGGATACGTTAACTGACAATTTATTCTAGGCGATTGTCACTAACAGGCACTGAACTATTACAGGGGTATCGTTACCCCTCACTGATTTAGTTATTACTGTAGGAAATACAGATTATGACGTCATTGCAATCTATATCCATACGAGCAATGGACTCAGGTCGTATTGTCTATTACTACTAGTCGTATATAAAAACTATTTTAACATATAAATACCTTCGGTATTATTGAATGCATGAATTAAAAAATATTATTAATGAAAGATAAAAAAATAGGATAGCTTGCAAAATTGATCAAATATATATAAAAAAAGTAATTTATAACTTTCAACTGTACCTAAGTCACAAGAAAGTTACAAAATTAATAAGAGTTGTGCATACTTACAAGATACAAAAGACAGTAGCAAAGCAGCTATCTTGTCATGTGAAATAAATACAAATAAAGGCAATTAGAGAAAGTAATGTTGTATTTTGTACAAAATAGTTTTAATAGTAGCTACACTCTTAATTAAAAATACAATCAAAACCTTAGCCTTATGTGAACGGTACCTGTAAAGGGTTCGAAACGTCAATTAAACTAAATACAAACGCGAACCATTTAAAAGAGATTTCATTTAGGAACAGCGCTCGTGAAAATACAAGAAATGTACAGCAGGTTATACAAAATTTGAAATATTGTAACCCGATGTGAAGTTGTGTGTATGTCAATCCAATATTTTAAAGAGGAAAAAGTTTCTAAATTTGTTTGTAGGGGGCAATCTTCGGAAATACTGATTTGATTACTAAAATTCTTTCACTTATGGGAATCGCGGGAGTCTATTCAAAATCGCGGAAAATTAGCCATTTATTTATACAGGTACAATAAATGCGTTGTAGCAAACAAAATCTTTATGACTACAAGAACCAAAATTATGACATCCTATTTGGCTAAAGCTATAAAGTTACTAAAATATTTCTCTGGCTAATACCATATTAAATATCATTAAAACCCCGAAGCGTTGTTTTATTAAAAAAAAAAAACTAAACAATTCTATACAATAACATACCGAAGCCGTCTCTGGACTCAAATCACTAGTCTAGAAACAGATGTCCTTGTGACCAATGTCAATTTTATTAATATATCCTTCCAGTATGCTGTTAGTCCTGTCTTTATTGTGGCTAAAGAACCTACTAATAAATAAGTGTTGCATCGAAACTTCGACAATGAGATCTCTCATTGAATCCAGCTCGGATTCAAATATCCCTACCATGAAGGCTTTTTTCTCTTTTTACATATTACCTACTATTAGATTCTTCGGAAAGTTGTTTTATTATTTGGAGAAAATTAAACACGACTTAAAAGAAAATAATAAAATCAAAACTATTTTATTTAGTCGTATATATACGTGGACCTTTAGCCACTTCTCAGACAGGTGGACATACAATTCCGATCTGTGCTGATTAAAGTAACAAGTGCTTGAGATACTAGTCAGTCCCGCTTTAGAGCAGTCGCTCGGATTGCGGATTTGTTCGAATCCCGTTTGGGGCGCTTGGGACTGGTGAATTTGTTGAACAATTTTCTTCGACGTAAATAATATGCGAGTAGGTGTGAAAAGCTAGCGAATACCTCATTTTTATGCGGTACAACACTGGTAACATATTTGAATGATTTATTACCTAAATAAATAATTGTAATTCGCGAAATATCCTCATTGTAAGTACCTATTCTTCAACTGTTGATTTAATTAATCCAAAGTCCATAAATATGGATGACTTGGTAAAAATAAGAAATTCTATTTAGTTCGACAGTCAGATAATAGAAAAATACGAGATACGTATTTTTTTTAACTTCAATTTAAACAAGATATTACTTAGATAATAAGCATTAAGGTTGAGGAGTGGTTGCTACGTCACAGTTTTGTAGAAATGTACAAAAGCGTGACGTCATGCGACATTTCAACTCAATATGTATTAACAAAAATTTGTCTACATCCCTATTAACCAAAACCAAATTCTTCTATTATCCATCATCATCAGACCTTTTACGCCCTCACTGCAGGGGCTCAGACCTTCCTAAGAAAGGTTAAGTAGAAGGTAGTATAATCCAAATAAAAGAAATAGAATGTTAGCATTTTATTATTTTAATTTCACAACAATTTTCATATATTAAAAAGGCAATAAATACATAGATGTAAAATTTATTATTATAATAACATTTCAAAAAATATAGGAACTTATTTTTAGAATAATACTATTAGTATTAAATAATGCGATAAAATGGAACATATATTTTACAAGTAACTTCTCCTACAAGTATTTGTACATAGGCTATTAAATAATACACATACTATTGCAATAATACATATATATAAAATACCGTGTCAATAATACATCTAATATCACAATACATAATTAATGTTTTCTCACAGCTTCTTACTGGATTTGATCGTTGGACTGGAAGTTCCAGACTGGAACCATGTAAACCAAGTGTTACATATCAAATCTAAACAAGATTATTTTCACGTCTCTCGCAGTTTAAATAATTATATTCGATATAATGAACAATAACATGATTTTTTCATAAAATACTATAATTTTTATTTAAATAAATTCGTATACTATTAAATAATTGTAAATAAGCTGTAAAATAAAAGTACCATACATATATAAAGGTCAATTCAGACAAAATACTGGTATAATTTATTTTTAAAGTCAACAATACTTAATAATATGACTAGTGCCTAAAAAACAATATTTTTAATAATAAGATTCAATAACTGTTTTATAAATAAACGTCATACTTAATTAAATTGTAATTTTTCCTAACTAATTATCGTCAAGTTTTAATGTCTTTGCTTTCAATAAGAGTAGATCAGTTACTCATACTATATTCAATGCGAGAAAAATTTCTAAGTGATCAAACTACTCGTATAAAGATCTTATTCTTACGTCGTCAATTGAACCATACATAACTAAGGTGGAATTCATATTTATGACAATTTTGACAATTTTAACGTATCGAATCCTTTTAGTGCCTCTACGTACGTATTAGTGGGTGGTGCCTTCCAAAGCACAGAGGAGCTCAAGCAAACAAAGTTTTGGTTACCCATCCTATGACACGCTACTGCGCCATCGAGCTATAATAGTCGCCAAATCTACGTCGTCTATATACTTTCGGATCTAATGTTTCAGACAGAAGTATACGATAGCGTTTCTCAGACGTAATTATAAGGTCCCCCATTTCGAAAGTGACTATCAATCAGTTGCACAAAAATCCATTAAAGTTTAATGACGCCTTTAAGCGAATGGCAAAATTGTATTAGTAATGTCGCTTTAAGCTAATTATAATTTAAATGGACGTTCGTGCAACTGGTTGTAAATCATATTACACTTTCAAGATGAAATTGTATAATCTAATACAAAGTAGTCTTAGATATAAGTTTTTGAGAACAAATTTCTGTATTGTTATCCATATCTAAAATGCAGATTATTTTGATATGGTTAAAATATAGTCGCAGTATAAGCGTGACTATCAAAAAGCAATAAACGCCATTGACCTTAACATCGCTGATACCGTTTCATATGGTTACAATTAATGAAACATTGAATAACTTACATAACTTCACGCAATGAACTTGGTAATGTATATTCGCGGTTGATTAGTTACAGGTATTAAAATTCAACCAAGAAGTGCTAATGTCTTCGTTCTCATAATTTCCATTAAAGGTGTACTTACGGGATGTTCGCCAGGTCTGAACTTAACCTTGTAAGTGTCATCCCGTGATTGGTGGAATGCTACAACTGAAATCGAATGAAACTAACGGAAACTATAGTATTGCATTACATACCAAATATAATGCGCATGCCTTTAATCGTACAAATTTCCGTTGAATCGATGATATTGCTAAAGATATTTGTTACTACACACTTAATTGATAGCAAGAACATTGAATATTGTCTTGCTTTGAATTCGTTCGCTGATTCTTTTATTAATATAATCATCTAGATAATCATTAACACATTGAATGTGATCAATGCGTTAGCCATTAGCTACATTGCTTCTCAGCTAAACCGAACAGTCTCTTCTTTAAGTTTGTAAGTTTACAAATTCCACTATAGACGGTGGACGTCACTTTGGAGGTGACGCAGCTGAAGAGCGCTGTAATGGCGGCCAGGCTAGAGGGAGAGATGACGCTGGAGCAGGACGGCGCACTCATGGACCGGTAGACGAGGCGGCTACCTAACGGTTGTACTGCGCGATCGTTGTTGACGCCGCTCAGATCGGCTTTGGTGAGATTCTTATACTGTTAAAGAGAAACCAGCAAATCAATTTGCCATTCAGTACATACACTATTCTGATTATGGTAGCTGTTCAGCTATAACGGAAAGGTGAAACAAAAATGGTTATCACCAGAGAGAAAATGGAGAGGAAGACCGTGATAATAAGGATAGACAGTGTGAAAAATGAAAGGCATAAAAAAGTGTGAATTATGAGATGACGGTTGATCGAGACGCGTGGAAAAATTACATATTGCGCAGACCCTAAATAAATATTTGAGAAAAAGGGCAAGCAAAAGCTGAACTCAAGTTGGGACTTCAGTAAATATATACTTAATGTTATCTAATGATTACTATTACTTAGCTGTTGACTGAGCACTAAGAAACAGTCTATGATCACTTCTGAAGGACGTGTGAAAGGAGATTAGTTGCTGTTTTTACAAGAGCCGGTAATTTCTTTTTGGTTTGGATCACCACCGGTCTTTGGATGAGGAGATAATTTCAGCTTCGACTTAGTCTGCAGTCTTTATTTGCATTTATTAACATCTCACGAACTTATTCTCATAAGTCTATCAATATTACCACTGCTAGAGTAGAGATCCTCCTATGATAGAAGGTGACTCTAGTGCGTATTAGTGAGAGTCTTCACATGCAGACTTTATCGTGACTTCATGTGTTTCCGCAGAATAGAAGAACTTGATACAATAAATTTATAATCACCCATACTTACGCCATTTAGCCATGGCCTTATGAGATCAACTACATAAACTACGACATTATCAAAACTATAACTTAATGAAGCTTGATGGTATAGAATTAGGGGCTTCGGTCTGAGATTAAGCAAGATTTGCAAACGATGAAAATGATGGGTAAATGCGAAACGGGTCCGTGTAGTCCGTGTACCGTGGATATAGCTAGTATTCGTTATTTAATCAGTTCCAAAAGGGCGAAATCTGGTATTTAAAGACAGGGAAATAATTCATTGATGTGGATGGAAGGAACTTACATTCTCGTGTGAGACGAGGGTTGGATGCGCCATCACTATCCAAGTAACGACCTCGGGACACAGCGGTGTAGTCAGGGAACCGTGATACGTGTAATAGTCCTGGGGCTTGGGGCTGAACAGCTGTCTGTAAGAAAACATAATAATGTTTTTCTGATGTTAGACTTTCTGTTTTTCGGTAGATCAACAACACCAATGGTAATATTGTAAGGAGCCATTTTGCTGACTCCCTTGAAAATATTTAAATTTGCATTTCACGGAAGATAAATTGTAGCAATAAGACATTGTTGATTAAAGTCATGAAATATTTTAATGAATCAAAGAGAATAACGGACCTATTCGAAATAATATCAATCTGCCAGGCAATAATATCAATTATTGGTTTGTAGGAAGGTACAGATGCAGAATTCAAACTAAAAAATACCGAAACATTGTTTGTCTTTCAAAATAATTCCGTGCACGCGCATTTCGTTTCCATTCCGTGCACTATAAATGAAACAAATTCTAAACCGTTTCATCGCGTTTGTGTTTGAACAAATCAAATTAAACTGTTATATATTTATTGAAAGTAATTTCAATACTTTTTACTAGTCAAAATTTTCTTCGAAAATGCAATCTATTTATCAATTTAGCAAACATAACTATAACATTCACGAATATTCTAAAAAAGTATTAAGTATTCTAAAAAAAGAGATGTTCCTTGTCATAATATACCACGCTATAGAAATAACCTAAGCCAAATACCTTCTAATTTAACTTTACACAGATCCGGAACTTATAAATAAAAATATCTAAAGAAGGAAAAAACATATACTCGATTTATAAAAATGCTAAAGAATATCCTATTAAATAAATGCAGTACAGTGAATGAATATTTGAATGAAAAGTTTTGGATAAAATGGAATGTCTGACCCTCTTTTTCCATCTTTCTATATTGCCTTGCCTATAAAGGTGCATGTCAATATTATTAACTGAAAGTAATGTACTTAGTTTCCAAGTCACATGTATGCAATGAAATAAATAAACAAATCTCACGTGTGTATTGAAGTTTAATAGGTGCAATTCAATAATACTTTTATTTGATATATTTATAATTTTACGTATCAAAACTATTATATCATAAAAATTATAACACAGACGCTGTTTTACAATTCTTTTTTTATATTGCTCATAATTTAGGTATTTAAAATCTATAAATATTTATATGAAATCTTATCACAATAGTGTAGCAATGTGCTACACAGTTTAATAAAAGCTGTTTATATTTGATGCCCTTTTTATAAATTTATACTTATTCAATTTTAGCGGGACTTTATTTCTTTTATTTGCTTGTCAGATTTACTTTGAATTTTTATGGGGTCAATTTATATATTTTTTTATTTGTACCTACATAGTTGTATTTTCTATTCCATATCCTTATAAATTAGCATGCTTTCCTGATTTAAAAACAAATCCAGCCAAGTGGGAGTCCGAGGGATGCTTACAAATCTCTTGGTAAATTGTGATGTAACTAAAACTTAACAGTTTTCGAAATTATTCTTTTATCTGTGCTATAAGACGTTGTTTCGCACCAAATTTTAAGATTCTGAGTTCACGGGAAGTAACCTATAGGTTTGACCCCCTTGCGAGTTTCGAAAATTTGTGGAAACTTGCGACATAAACGGCAGTATCTTTTGATTGCATTGGTTTAGATATTTGATTTTATCACAGCTCCAAGGGACAGTAGACTAAAGTATTTGATATAAATTTCAGATTGATACCTCCACGCGTTCCTGGGAAAAAGGGTCTTGACAGACATCGGACTGTTAACAAAGTGATCCTATAAGGGTTCCGTCTTTTCGAGTTAAATAAGAGAGAAAGTCAAATAAGAGTTTTCAGAAATTATATCTTTTCAGACATTAAATTCCTGTAATTGAATTAACAGTTAGCAAAGAATTGATTAAATATACGCATGATAAGCCAATAACACCTTTATTAATGGATTTTCAGTTTGTTATTTTAACTTAAATGTTGTTCTAGAACAATTTTAAATAATTTGCAATTTTTCGAAGTAATTTTTTTTGGTTATTTCTATTATATTTTAGTTAGATTAAGTGTGATTGTATACTAAAATTATAAAACCAACTAATTTTTAACTCTAGTTTTACGCATTTATTAATATTAAGTCCTTACATATGAAATTGGCGTTTTGTCGTACTGGCCACTTTAATCACAAATTTCTCTTCCTTGGTTGGAAATTTCAAATTCAAATTTATACAGCCATTTACACATGTATTTGTGTTTCGATAGGCGGCATTCATTTGTTTTTTTTTTCTCCTGTTTGCCCTATTTACGTCACCCAGTATAAAAAATGGAAAATTTGAAATATCTTGTTATTTACAGATGTGTATGGCGGTTGTGTCGCAAAAAAAACACAGTGCGTTTTTGGTTCCAACGTTTTTGTTCTGGAAATTTCGATCTGCAGAAAAAGCCCCATGGACGGCCGAAAACCCAAGTTATGAATTAAGAATTGAAGGCTATTGCGGATTCATCGCAAAGCACGTTCGAGTTAGTTGCAGGCTGCGGTGTTAGTGATAAAACTGTTTTAATCGACTTGAAGCAAATTGGAACGATTAAAGAGCTTGAAAGGTACCTCACGAATTGAGTGAAGCAAACCGGCAAACACGCTTCGACTGCTGCGTTACATTACTTAGCTCATCGCAATGGTTGGACCATGGCATGCATGATAAATCCTGCCCCAAGCGAAAATTGACCCAAAAAAATTTACTTGTAAACTAAGTTTGGTGGACTAGTGCCGGTGTCGTTCATTACAGTTTTCTCAAATCTGGCCAGATGATTACTGCAGACGTCTATTATCAGCAATTGCAAACCGTGCTGGAAAAACTAGCTGTTAAACAACCGAGACTGGTCAATCGCTCTACGCCACTGCTATTTCACCTATTTCACGACAACGCTAGACCACACACTGCACAACAGACGTCTACCAAATTAGAAGAGCTTCAATTGTAATATCTAAGACATCCACCGTATTCCACGGACCTTGCTCCAACAGATTGCCATTTTTTTCGAAATTTGGATAACTTTTTGCAAGGGAAAAAAATCAACTCCGATGGGGTAGTGCAAATCGCCTTTAAAGATTTTATTGATTCCCGTCCAAATGGTTTTTTAGTAAGGGAATCAATGAACTACCCATGAGATGGCACAAGTGCATAGATAACAATGGTTTATACTTTGATTGAGTAAATATATTATATTAAAAAATATTCAACTTTTTGTTTCTCCCATACCAAACATCAATTTCATATGTGAGGACCTAATATAATAATATACTAGGATAACTTTTAAATGTTAACGATTATTGTTTGGTGTGAAATACCTTTGGCGATTCTTATTATAGACATTTATTTTTATGGCAGGTAGAATAACTACATTTCTAATATACTTCATGGAACAATATGCTGTGAATTAACTACTTTTGAAAGGTATTTCAAATTTATCGGTAGTAAAACTAGTACTTCTGGTAACTATATTGGTGATTACAGTAGAATTTGTGTTATCACAGGTGCATGTTGTGTATTTTTATTACTTTATTGTTAAATTTATGTCATGTTCATTAGGTCAATAAATCATTCTTTACTCTGTCATCTACACTAATATTATAAAGCAGTAAGATACTCCTGTGTGTTTGTTTGCATTGAATAGACTCCGAAACTCTATTATTCTATATTTTTGAATCATTCGTTTCGAGTCGAGTTGAAGAGTTTACAAAATACAAAATGTTGAAGAGTTTATGCCTGCAGTCCGATGATTTAATTGGTCAAGTAGCCGAGGCAAGTAGAGGCCCGCTCATCGGTTTGATATAGCGTGTTATATCTAGTCCGTCTTGCCCCGCGTCGAATGTCGCCACGCTCGGGTTCTTTATATTTTTATAACACACGGGACTGGACTAATGTAATCAATCACATGCTAAATATCAATAAGAGGGTTAAAAGAAGTGAACCTTATTTGTTATAGAACTTATTATCTGAGCCCCGTTCTGTTATGAAAATTTATAAAAACTAATTAGCAGTTATCTAACAAAAAGAACTATCTATAACTTGATTAAGAAACCAACTAAGTAAATCTATAAACAGAAAAAAATCACAACAACATTCTTATTTTATTCCGTTTTACTGATATACATAATCTGTGAACATTTTAAATGTTTATAAACGGAACCCAAAACATTATAACTCAATTTTCAAAACACATCAGTATTAAAATATATAGCGGTTAACTTTTAAGGTATTATAAGATAAAAAGTTATAAATAAATTAGGATTATTCAAATGTGTTTCATCGTAAACATGATCGTAAAATCAAAAATATTTTATTATGATTTTTATCTAAATGTATGCAATTTCTCTGACGATAACACAAATTACAATATATTGATAGCAATTAAATATTACCTACTTTAAAATAAGGATGTACTGATACCACAGTATCGATACTTATTCATATCAGTTGTGCTCAAATCATTTTTCGATACCAGTTATTATTATTAACGCGAGGTTTTACGAAATTACCAATTTGATTATAAGGCTATGCTAATATTTGCCAAGTAAAAAAATTTTTAGGAAAATTTTAAAAATGGTCAGTTTTTTTTGCAAAAAAAAAACAGAAACATTAATATCAATAATTGGCTCGAAAAAAAAAAATCACAAAGATTCTAAAGAGGACTTTGTTTTTTTTTGTTATTAAAAATGTATAAAATTTAGCGAGCGCGTCTTTTTGTTTGCATATTATTTAGCATCAAGATTTTTTTAACTGTCCTATTTTGTTCGTTTATTATTATTTTATATAAAATTTGGAATTGTAATTTTTCTGTAGAAAGTATTCATATACCTACTTACGTCTCTTATCTTTGATGCAGTCTTTATAAAAAAGTGAACTCTAGCGTGAAAGCGATCTTTTGAAAAATTTATAAATTTTATACAAATAAAATGTAAATAGCCAAAGTAATTATTGATATTTATTATTTATTTATAGTAAAGCACAATAATGATATGTTTATATGTCGGCGCATCGATTGTGCCGCGATTATTCGATATTTATTCCTAAACGAAAGTGAATTAACAAAAGCAAGTTACCGCCATTTTGGTGGACATTCTGTTTCCGATCATCGAGGAGTAAAGACATCCGACGACATCACGCTGATCTCGTTATATTTTCGCATGAAAAGTAATAAAATGGGATAAGTCCACATTGGTATACACGCTTGCAGTGTTATTTTAAAGATAGTCCTCCGATATGGACGATCTATTTGGGCTTCGTAATAGCTCCCTGAGACTACCCGACTACATATATATAACTTTTATAAACAAACACAGAATGATACAATATAATTGTTAACTATACGCTTTTATGGTATTTTTTAATAATAAATAAATATTAGGTAACATCATATGCCTAATATGTATTATTATTCAAAAATACCTTTCAAATTTTACTAATCAAATCTTCCCAAGGGGCTCCAACTATGAGTCGTTCTGTATTACATAACAGAATTCTTAACTTTTGGGCTTGTTTCTTTCTTTTTAGTTTTTATTTAGGTTATTATTTGATGTATTTTTTAAATTTCGTTTTTAAGCAGTCGGGTTTTTTGTTTTTCTTTAATATATTTAGAACTCTTGTTTTACCTGACTAGAGTAGACTAGTCTATGGCAAGATGTTTTGTAACAATAAAAGAATACTTGACGCTACCTCTCCTTTCCACAGAGTATCCACATGCTACAAAGCAATTGTTTTTGTGAAAACGCGGATCTCGTATCAACTACATGCCCTACGTGCACCTTATCACTTTTGGGGGAAGGACCTGGGGGGACGTGCACAGGAGAACTCCTTTAGCAGGGAGTTCTCCTGTGCGGGCCTCAAGAAGGGGACTAGTCAAAATGCAGAAGCATACACACTAAAACCCACTGATTTCCTCTCTACGGCGGGTGTAAAGAAAACAAATGGTGTCAACTAAAGAGAGCTTGTACACGAGAAATGTTCTCATAAAATTTTTATGTACAGATTTTTTGGAATAAAATACGTTTGCCAAAAAGACTTTTGATGATAATGATACATTGATTACAATAGACACATTGATCAATGAACTAGTTGATGTCATTTAATTGAACTGATTGTGCATGAATAGAGTATTTAGCCACTGTGCCGGTAATGCCTGATTGTGATGTGTTCCATTATTATTTATTATTCGACCGTGATATAGTTATTGTGGAAGTGTTCGTCTAAGTTTGAGCCAATAATTTCGTTTAATAATCAGTGATGTATCCAGATCAGACGATTATTCCTTCAACATTTTAATGACGTGGAAGTATTATTGAATATCCAAAATAAAAATTCACATAAAATAGAGTAGTAATCCGCATCGAACGCGAGGTTACGTTCTACGGTTAGTTTTAACTTTTTATGTTTTACACTGTGATTATCAAGAAAATTAAAGATATATAATCAATGATTACTTGGTTTATTATTGCAATTAACACAATAGCGAAACATATATTTTTACATGGCACAGACAAAGAGAAAATCCTTTTTTTATAAACATCATAGAAGCAAAGGTGTTTTGTGTTACAGCCACTGTTAGAAGCAGTTAGGGCTATTGGATTTCCCGTAGATATGTTTGGCCCTTCTTGCTTACAAGAAGGAAATATATCAGATCCTTGCTTACCAGAAAATATGCATGAAGTCAAAAGCACTAGGCTTTACTCTCGATGCTATTTGCGAGGGAACATAAGCGTAGGTATAATTGTTTATTTGATTCGACCATTGATCGAACCTTAATACTTATAACTTCGACGAACTCTGTAGCAGAGTGGTTCGCATACCGGTTTCATGGTGTATCCATTTCAGTGGTCCCAGGTTCGATTTCCGGTCGAGTGAGCGTAGAAAATGTACATTTTTATACTCGGGAATGGGTGTTGTGATACCACGATATCTCAGTTACTCCATAATACGGGGGCTTTAGTTACTCATCTTGGAATCCGAGCAATGTATTTTATGATAGATATATAAATTCTTTATTTGCATCACGCATACACAAAATTTTACAATTTGAATTATACAAAATATTCCGTAATTATTAAGAAAGAGAAATAATTAATAGTAGAGAACAAGATTCAACTAAAACAAGACAGTCAAACAGTATGTGTACCACAGCGATGCAAATGGGCGAAAACTCAGTGAGTATTTACTCAAAGAGCAAAGCACTGATTTTCAGTTTTTACCCTATTTTTGTGACGTCCAATATTTATATTTATTTATTATTATAACACAATATTTGTTTTTACGAGACTTCTCCCGCCTATGTGCCTTTACCAACCGCTCAGACCTGCGATTGTGTACAAATCCAAACCCGAATTCGAATTCACTCAGGTGTCCAAAAAGCGGCATCCGCTCAATCTTGAATTGATAATAACGTATCGTGACATAAGTGAAGTGAGTTTCGAAATGACATACGAATAGAATATCTGTGCCAAGTATATTCAATCAAATTTGTTTCATATTTTTATACAAAAAATGGAATCAATAGGATTTCTAAACTAAATGACGTGAATTCGTACACATGAGTGAATTCTAATTCGGGTCTGCATTTTTACAGAATCGCAGAGCAGTACAGTAGTTTGGAAGAATATTTAACGCAAACAAACAACTGAAATCTTTATCATCCTATTAATATTATTAATGTGAAAGTTTCTTTGTTTGGATGTTTGTCGGTCAATCACGCCGAAACTACTGAACGGATTTTGATGAAATTTGGTATACAGATAGGGTATTAGCTGACTTAAATAATAGGATACCTTTTATTCCACTCAACATTTCCCTAGGTTCCACGCGGGCGAAGCCGCTGGCGAAAGCTATTAATAATATAAATCTATGGTATACAGAAACAGTTTAACTTACTTTATGTTGACGCGGAACTGTGAAGTATCCTCGCTAGTTTTCGTCAGGATGTACGGCACCGACGGCAAGAGGTCGTCAAGCACTGGACTCACGTGCGGCGTGCCCACCTGTGTAGTAGACATTATATTTCAGTCATATTAAGGCTGAGCCATACCTGAGCCATAGGAATTTCCATTATGACTCTCTAGCGATGATTGTATTTTTTGATAAAGAATAATAATTATGGAATTGACAGAAGCGTTAATAAATTAGTAATTTATCCCTTAATTTGTTCATCAAGAGTAGCTCGGTGGTCGTAGTGGATAAGCGCCGCGATCATGGTCGTTAAGCAACTTTCGCAAGGGTCGGTGACGGGATGGATGACCAAAAAATTATTATCTCGAGCTACTCCGTGCTTTAGAAGGCACGTTAAGCAGATGGTCCCAGCTGCATTTGTAGTCGTTAATACCCGCCAATCCGCATTGGGCTAGCGTGGAGGGACATGGCCTTATGCTCCTTAACCATAAGAAGGCCTGAGCCCCTGCATGGGGAGAAATAAAGGGCTGATAATGATTCTTCATCAAAAGACAAGTCGCGAAGATATCGTATCCTATAACTAGTCTTACAATAAGATGGAGATATATAAGATCAAAGATAGCATTTGGTTTAAGCAATTGGATGCCTGAAGAAAATTGACAATGACAGAAGAGAAAACGCCATATTGAGATATGTCGATTTCTTTTGGTGGAATAATGGTTTCCAGCACTTCCGGTTTCATACATCCGTTATTATTGTTCTTCAAACATAATGTAGCTTATCCGATTTAAAACAAAATATCAATCAGATTGACTTATTTATTTTTGAAGAACAATAAGACGGATGCATCAAACCGAAACCTTAACCTCGGTAGAATCATCATGAAGTTCATATAAGACTGTAGAAGCCCTAATTTTTCCGCATAGTAATGCGTTTATCATAACTCTGTGTCCGACCATTCCTACTTGTCGAAGCAAATGAAAGTTTCTCGTATTAGTTACTTAGTACAGTATATATAGAATTTAAGTTGATAATGCTATTACGAAGTATTATAGTAAGTACGCATATATCTGTCTTATTAATTATAGGAAGTCACCTAATGTCCCGAAAATAATTTACATTAAAATAATCTTAACAATTTAAGAGAATTAAAAGCGAAGTTAAATGACACGGAGGTGAAATCATAAATGTTATTTGTTTATTGCAATTTATGAGCTGTTCGTGATTTTCGTGATATGGACTGTCACTGTGTGAATATTGTTAACCTCAGCTAATACTCCTATAACGGAGACTCCGTCGGGTCGTTCAGTAGCCTGCTGGAGGGTCAGCCCTGTCTTCAAGTGGACTAAGTGGATCTCCAATGGGTACCTATTTACAATACAATTACTTAATATTAGATATCGCATTCATTACTCAGATCCAAATTAAGTCGTTAATTGTGCATAATACAAACTGTACATAAGTAGTTAGTAGTTAATTGTGCATATTTTGTCAATACAGAAACACGAATTCTTCAAGATTTTCTATTTTTTTTCTAATATCATCTTTATATATTTTTATTTTCGATGATACTGACTTGAGACCGTTGACGGTGTGCTCCGACAGCCAGTGGAAGTGGACCTCTGCAAAAGAGTAGTTCCCTCTGAGGGGCCCTCCGGAGAGCACTGGCGTTGGAGTACCGGGGACTACTGCCCAACGTACTGTAACAATACAGTCAACGTCAGAAAATCTCTGATGATGTGAGAAGCGGTGAATTCACTAGGCGGACTTGCTCGCGGGCATGTCCGTCTAGTGAATTTCCCGTTCAAGTGAAAAGAAAGCACGCTAGTTGGCCATAGACTTCTACGTATAACTAGTCAAGTTGTTCACGAATAGCATTCAAATAGCATGACGAATTAATTTCACGAGCTTCTCGAGCTTCTTACCGAGTCTATCGAGCTATTCTTGCTACGAGAACTACACATATGTAGTTTCTCAATATTTACAAAATCTAAACAACAGTATGCGTGTATGCGTGCATGTAGAAAATATTGTTTTGTTTAGTGTTAGTTTTTTGATTACCAACGATTTCTTTAGGGGGCATAAGTGTCCCGTAAGTCGATTATGGCTTCCCGGGTCTCATCAGAATGAGTTTTATTAGGTAGGTTTCCGTAGACCCGTTGGATTGAAAAAGCAATAGATTCACGGCCACACGTTTCTGTCTCATGTCAGGCGGCAAGGTAATTAGGCCGTAATACTTTACCGGACGTTAAAAAAGTTTCACTTCACGACACATTAACTTATGAGGTAGGCGGGTAGTTATTGCCATCTTAATAAGCAGTTTATCAATAGCAAATAGCTTGCCTAGTTACACAGTAATCTTTAAAGTCAAGTCGCATTTTAATTTTGAAATAACATTGTAAATTTAAGAGAGACTTGAAACTTATAAATCACTGAGTGGAAGAATTTTGTTTTTGACTCATGCTAGTACAATATTTTGGCACCGCTTAAATCTTTAAAACATCAGTGAGTATTTTTCACCACCGGAGAATATTACATTGGGAAATAAATTACATTTTTAGACAAAAATATTATTAATACTTTGTTCAAAATCAATTAGTTAAATTTATGCTTTTATATAAAACTTGTAGAGTGTTACTTACCTTTATAACCAGTGTTTCTCGCGGTCACAATGACATCATCGTAGCCCCGGTAGACCAAGGGTCCTCTAATGTGTGCCTTATAGGGATCAGCGATGGTCTCGTGCGGTACGATATTGATGGGAGACTGTTGCTTTCCCACTTGACATTTGCCAGGCCACGCTGATTCGTCTATGATGAAGGAGGAAACATTGTCAGATGGACCGGGAACATGTTTTACTTAGGCATAGATACAAATAAACACTCATGCTCGTTTTCACCAAGAACATAGGAAATGTTTAAAATTATGATATGCGTTATACGGCGCCTTGCGCTAGGCATTGGCGTAATATGATAGAAAAATTGTTTATTAACAATTAAACATCTTATCTGCTTAGGCTATTCGTAAGATTTCGGTTAAGCGTTTCCTAGTTAAGCTATACTTTGTTTTAGGTCAGTGAAAACGGGTCTTAGGTTAAGATATTTTTCTCCGAACCTATCTGGTTGTTGTAATATGGTTTTGTGATGATTGATTCTTACCGTGATGACTCCATTGTGGTGTCGTTTGAGATGCACTAAAACCTGCAACAAAAATATATAAATATCTACAGTAATGGGTTAGTTCTAAAAGTATACACTCAGCATTTAATTTAATTAGCCATCGATAAAACATGTGTTTTTGTTTGTTTTTGGTATTTGCTACCTAATATTGCAGTGGAAAATAACTTTATGCTCCAATGAAGTCTTACGTTTAGAGTAAATAAATAATATTGAATTTGAAAAACAAAATGAAACCATGTCAGTACACATACTGTTATATAAAACAAAAACATTGCAACAATCAATTTTAGACCAAATTGCGATGTATTATGAGATACTAGTTTCATCTAGTTCTGAGTCAAAGGTCATGGGTAATGGTTTCTTTGCCAATAATAAATGAATGGATTACGTATGACACGTAGCGGATACTACGTGTTTAAGTTGCATGTGCTTTACACAAGTTACTGACCCCCTAAGCAAGGAGTCGATATGTGAGAATGTCAGAACAAAAGTCAACATTTATGGCAAGTTATTATAAAAATGTTATGAATGAACACTTAGCGCTGAAAGAGTTTCTTTGTTTCATTATTTAGCATTCATAATACTACATTAATAAATTACTTTAAAAAATCTCCATGGGGTGAAAATGTTAGTTTCAGGAATTTGTATATAATAAGGTCAATTTGGTTATATATGCAGCCTGATAAAAAGTGTCATCATTATTTTTCAGCCTACTTAGTAATTTATAAGCGTTCAAAAAATTAGAAAAACATCGAGGAACGGATTTTTCAATTTATTATGCAATAAATAGTGTTTATTTGGGTATATTCGTTAATTTTATGGAAATTAGTTGAAATTAGAAGTAAATTTTTATTTTGCTTGAAAATGTTTGAAAAACTCGTCAGTCCTGTTCGGTCCTGGATAACAGTCGTTAGAGCAGTCGCCTGCACTGCGAAAAGTCGTTGGTTCGGATTTTTTAGGCAATTTTACTCATAAAAAAAGGATTATTAGTAACCAAATACTTCGGAATTAATATTTCCCTTTTATGACAATATTATTGAACAAATTGTATCAGAAAAATAATTACTTCACAAGGAATAAAGATTTCATATGCATAGGCTTAGACATCACCCGCACCGCACATACGGATGTCAATCATAGATCAGTTTAAATCAGCCATTTAAGGTGTCGCCATCTCTGAGGTCTCGAGTTCGATGACCGATGGGATCAATGTAGAAAAATATTTTTTTTATATTGTCTCGGCTCTGGGTGCCGGTGTTGAGGTCTTTACATTATATCAGATTTCTATAACAATAGTGCTTTAGCTACATATTTAGTTTAGGATCGAAGCAATGTATGGGATGTTGCCTAATATTTCATTTTTTTTATGGGATAGGGGGCAGACTAGCAGACGGATCACCTGACGGTGAGTGATTACCGTCGCCCATGGACACCTGCAACACCAGAGGGGCTACAAGCGCGCTGCCGGCCTTGGAGGGAAGGGTTGAGGGGTAGAGGGAAGGATATAGGGAGGGTTTGGGCCTCCGGTGCCCTCACTCACACGACGAAACACAACGCAAGCGTTGCTTCACGTCGGTTTTCTGTGAAATATTATCATAATGTAGGTATGTATAACAAGAACAATAGTAATATAGTTTTTCCATGCGTCTCGGTCAATACAGAAATGGAAATTTATCAAGAAACATTTAGTTAACGATAATAATTATTTATATTAATAAATAAATATGTATTAAAGCTCTATTTACACTTACAAAATATGAACACATAAAAATTTCCTAATTACGTCATTGGTACAGTCAACAGCACGCCAGGCTATACAAGACTGTCAAAATTCTCTATTTTATTTTAAACTTTAATACACTGAGAGTGGGGTTGTTGTAATAATATGCTGGCTAAATCTGCAATTTTTTTGCGTAAGTAATAATAGCATCTTACTTTATAGGTCCTCAACTACTTTAATTTTTTCATTGTACTATCTTATCTACCTGAAGTCGTTTATAGGTGGACTTAATTCCTTACGCATTTTCTGACAGTCGATCTTGACAAAAAATATTCTATTTTGTGAAGTTATTCTTCTCGTTGTCATTCCACTTGATTTTAAACCTTAATTACCTTCATTTTAGGTATAATTGAAAATGTATTGCGAATATGTATTGTGGTAACTCGATGTGATGTTGTATGTACTAAACTACTTAAAATATAATCGTTTTGTTGTTCAGACAGACATTTATAATATTATTTTAATTAAGGACAAGAATAAGTTATTATTATGTATAATAAAAATAAAATATATTAAGTGTTAAAATCGTCTTAAAAATTCACACATGTCTAAATACATCTGTGTGATTTTTTCATCGAGTCAATCATTGAAGTTCTTTTTTCTGTTTTCACGAAAAGTTAAATTAATTAACGCGAATAACCATACGCGCGAAACCATATAAAGTTTGAATATTAGGTACTTGTCCAAATAGACTAAATAAAAAGGGAATAAATAAATATTTCAATAAAACATTTTCAGTTTTAATTACCTAGTTTTTATTTGGTAAATAATTCAGACTAGATAGCATGTATCCTGCCTATATTTCTATTAGCTTTTTTGGGAGATATATTTTTTTAATAATTTATCCAGATTGTATAGAATTTAGACAGCCGTTAAGATAGAGCGGGTCGCCTTACCTAAATATAAGAAGATCCTACGTGATTTCATTGGCATAAGCATCGAAAAATAAGATTTTTCGTCCAAGGTTTTATTATTTACTACAATATGTACTAATGCTTTTTTAATATTTGTTTATTATATATAATTAATAATTTATATTTTTAACTTTATTACTACTTGTAGTTTTACCGCGACTTCACCCGTGTTAATTATAGCGTATCTATAGTCGAGAGAGGTAATTATTTGTGAATATATCATAACTCAAGCAGATTTTATGATCAAATAAACAAAATTTTAATGGAGTAAGAAATTACGGTTACGGATAGAGTAGTTAAAATACAATTATTATTAGCAACAATTGTTACTTTCTGGTATTAAGCCCGTCACACGCGTAGCTATAATATTATATTAATATGCCGTGCTATAATATATATTATAGTAAGCTATCACACACGGAGACGATGCTATAATATATATATTTTGCCCTCATTCATTGATGGTCAGCCTAGCGTTTAGCCTACCATAATATGCAATAATATATATTAATATGCGTTAGTATATTCGTTGGTGAAATCATAAAAATATATATGATAGTAGCGTGTGCGGTCATTTGAATATTTGTATAGAAAATATATCGTAATATGCCTTGCTATAATTTATATTAATATATATTATAGCTACGTGTGTGACGGGCTTTAACAATTGTTACTAGCATTGTTAATGTAAAATTAATCAAACATTTATTATATTCTCACTTTATTTAAAATTTCTCGTACATTGGTTATAAAAAGAAAATTAAGTTATGACATTTTCTCAAGTAATTACTTCTCTCGAGTCCTATGTTATCCGTGTATGATGCAGTTTCCCGTGTGTGAAATATTTTTCATTAACAATCAAACATTTCTTCTTTATAATTTTATTACTAAAAGGAAAAATAATTAAAATGTAATTACATAAAAATATCCATAATTTATAAAGATTCCAAGGTTTCCTACTTTAAATTATGAGTATTTATATTTTATTAATTTGTAACTTCACTCACCGTATAAACTAATAAACACAATCACAAAGAGAAACATTATTCGTTTTACTTAAAACTTTTTTAAATAAAAAAAGTTAAAACTTTTTTGTCATGCACTATAGCACACACTTTTATCGACTGGTCCCCGTTCGCGGTATAAAAACTTTTTATACATCGTCGTTGCTATTTTATTTTCGAACTAAAAAGTAAAAAGTATTTTTTTCCGCCACACATAGGCAGTGGGATTATCACTGCGTATGCCGGCGTGTCTACAACGTGGTGTGATAAACGTAACTCGAGCACATTATACGCAGGGGCGGATGGAACGCCGAACACAATGAAGGTTTATCATGTACCGTGAGTGGCGGTGAACGATTTCTAAGGTCATGGTACTAGACGAGAATGAAAAAATTTATAATAAAAAATAAAATGGCGGGGTAATAAAATCGTAATTAAATAGTAGGGCATAACAATAGAAATTTAAATAGAAAATTTTAAAATAACGAACAATCATATTCAATAAATTAGAATATACTTGACGATAGACAAAAAAATCGTTTCATACCAGATACATATATTTATTAATCATTAAAAAGTTACAAACTAAAGTGATGTGTGTACCTTATTAAAAAAGATGCGAAAACATATTCACAAAAAAATCAGCTAGTTCATGTTTATCGAAATTTAACTTAATGGAATATATATAAAACTAAAAAAATTCAACGGTTTGATATATCGCCTTTTTAAAGTTATTTTAAAAGGCCATTTAGGAACACATACCTACATATTTATATTAGAGATGGAGTCGCATGGTTCCCTCTCTGCAAAGCAGAGAGCTGCCCTCGGAAGGAATGTTGAACTTGGGACTATGTCTCTATGTTCCCCATCTTAATCAACGAAACCACAACCACTCTGACAAGAGTTCTTGATTAAGAAGAAGACATTTTTGTCATCGGTCTATTAATGTCCCGCTCTATTATTGTCCCCACAGCTGGCGCAAAGGCTTTCCTTATAGATGGGATCTAATCGAGAATGGGACATGATGAATTGGTGGGTGTGGATGCAGATGGGACTAACGATATAATAAAATATAATTTCAGAATCTCCTAGGTGCTTCAAACAGCCGCAACCTCCGCTCGATAGCAACGAAACTCGCTATCCCTTTCAGCGTTTCATTTAAAATTCCATGCGACTCTGGAACGCATTTTCTCCCAATATTCAAGCCGCTTCGAATAAATTGATTTTCTAACAATTTTACGTGATAATCTTCTGAATCCTCCTAACGCTTGTAATTAATTTGACATATTTATGTTTATATGTATTATATGGTATTCATCATCATCACCAGCCCTTTTACGTCCCTGCTGCAGGAGCTCAGGCCTTCTGAAGCAAGGAGTGACTTGACATAATAATATTTTGGTCACCCATCCGGTGACCGACCCTTGTTAAAGTTGCTTAACAACAACGATCGCGGGCAGCCCCGCTAATCTACTACTATGGTATACGTTTATGTCGTGGTCAGTTCGTAGAATTTGATTACTTCATGATGCGTCCGGCCATTTCATGAAATGGTCGTTTTTCATGAAACGCCACCTAAAACTGATTATATCATTTAAACGTCAACGTTTAATGACATAGCCATCTACGTTTGACTATATCATTAATTTAGGGTATCCAAAAAGAAATCAAATAATTTATTGAATAAGCATGTTTATACGACAGCGTTATGTGATTATGTGGTCCGAAAAACAATAACCTCGAAAATTAATTTTCTCACCTATCACGTGACCCACAGTAGCGTATCTCAAAGGAAGTTTAGTTCATTTCATAATCTCGAACACTTTAAAATCCACCGAAATAATTTCATAAGCCTGATAGATAGCCCACACCGTCGCTCCTTCGCATCTACACATCTACAATAATTTCATTTTTAAATATTTATATTACTAAACTTGAACCATTATAACTCCATTATAATTATATTTCTAGTAAGATAGAAATAAACCGTTTTCGTATAACTAGTTAAATTTCATTGACTTCATTCGCTTGGTCACCCTAATTTCTTTTATATGTTGTATAACCTATTAATGAAACGTCATGTATCACAAAAACAATGCGACATCAGTGCCTCTAAAGGAAACTAATATAACAATTTAACGATATGTTCAATAATGCTTGGCCAAATCATGAAGCAGTCAGCGGTCCATATCGTTCAACGCAGATTATATTATACTATTGAAGCTAGGCCACATCATGAAATGGGCAGCAAGTTTTGTCAGTTTCATGAAATACGACCACTTTATGAAATGGTCGGCCTGATCATGAATTGATCAATTCTACGATCAAACCACGACACATATAATTAATTATAACTATTTATGATATCTAATGTTATGTTTGTTATATGATTTATCTATAATTATATGCAATTCTATTAGGGTTTTTTGGTATTGTATAAGTGTCTATATTGACTTCATTTAAGTTTTTTATAACAACGTCTTAATACAGTTTCTATTTGATTTGGTAGATAATGACTAATAGTATTAAGTCCGTCGAAGTTTAAATAAATAAATAATATAGTTTTGGTAAAGCTGCTCAACTTTCGCATCACAGATCGAATGCGCTAATCATTACGCTACCGAGTACCTCATGAAAGCAGAAAGTTAATTTGAACGAAATAAATCTTATATATTATAAATATTCGAATTAAGATATAAAGCCATTATCTTTGGATAACCATACTCTATACATTTACTATAACGATTTTTTATATACAGGATAATTTTAATACATTTTTTTTGTATTACAATCGATTGATTATACTGAAATAAAATTTATATGCAGTCATAAAGACAGTGATGTCATAATCTACATTATTACTAAGATAACTGAAGTTTTCTTTTTTTTACAATTAGGATAAATTCAATTTTATTTATTAATATGACAAGGATGATTAATGATTAAGGAAGTCGGCTAGTTATAAAAAATATATATAATTATCAAGTACTCATGTATATATATACGTATATTTCCACGCCGTATCCCTTGCGTGGTGGTTTATATCAAGTAGTCACAACTATAAATTAACCAAATTTTAATTAAAATATCATTCAAAAAATAACATCGCGATCGGAATTGCTATCGAAATAGTAAATAGTTGTAGCGTGAAGTTCGTAGAAGTAGAAGAAGTAGTATTTGATCTTAAAATTATACAATTAGGCCATTTTTATTATTATTTTAGGATAAAATTATTATTATTATTTTTAATGTAGTCCGCATTTAATTGTTCAACATCATATGAAGTTCCTTGTCCAGAAGAGACGAGCCTATTTTGTTTTTTTTTTAAATTTGGTTTGGTTTTTGACAAAGTACAAAAAATATTTCAGTATTTACCTAGTGCATTTTACGTTTCAGGCAGAATACCGTCTATAGAGCGAGCTATTGAACACCGCTTCTTATGTTTTCAGACGGATGTTCAATATGTTGTAATAGTCTAATTAAAAACAAAACTGCGGTGCGTGTCAATAATAACCAATTAATCATAGTTAATTGCTTGAGTTTAACTTATTATCTTGTTCTTGTTTCAATTATTATTTCTAAAATATATAAATATTTAGAAATTATAACATTGGAATCTAAATTGACTTTAGAGTGCGCGAAACTACAGGATCGAATTTAAAAATTCTTCCATTTACGGGAAGCTCCACATTACACAGTTGATATGAGGTTATAATTAATATCTCTGGTATTAGGGTCGGTGCATCTAATGTAATGTAATTGTCGTTCGCGGAACGTCAGTACTGAAAGAAATGAAAAATCATCATTGTACACTCGACTTAAGATCCCTCGCGTACAAACCAATATGTTTGTTATTGTCGTCGGCAGTGTGTCACGGTGAACTCTGTTCAGTAGTGTAGTGCGCAGGTCATCTAATTTACTAATAAAAATCTCACTGAGGAAGTAGAGTCGTTCTGTATTTACAGAAAGGATGCTGCACTTATCCCATTTATTATATTGCTCCACGTACAACTAAATGCATTAACGGATCATGCTTGTTACTTGTACTATGGACATCAGTTTTAAGTGACAATATATTAACGATATATGCTGTACCGTTAAGGGTAGAAGTTAAGTGAATCCATGACAAAAATCGAGGCACAGCCTAAGGGCGGACCCGGGGTGGTGACGGGGGTGAAGACCTTCCTCAGGGCTGGGTCCACTACCTAGGTGGACCACTAATTAAACTTAATGTTTTTATATATTTTTGGAACTTTTGGGTTTTTTAGGGTTTTAATCTATATATAACTCAAAGGTGACTGACTGACATAGTGATCTATCAACGCACAGCCTAAACCACTGGACGGATCGAGCTGAAATTTGGCATGCAGGTAGATGTCATGACGTAGGCATCCGCTAAGAAAGGATTTCGATCAATTCTCCCCCCGGGGGGGATAAAATAGGGGATGAAAGTTTGCATGAAACTTTGTTAATTTTAAACTGATCGGGCTGAGACTTTGCATTCATAAAGCTACTATGACGAAGACATCTCCTAAGAAAGGATTTTGATAAATTCCACCCCTAACGGGATAAAAAAGGGGATGCAACTTTATTTCAGGTCTTTTACACGATATAATGAATAAATATTCGTTAGAAATGCTGCTCAAAGTAACTTTACCACGCGGACGAAGACGCGGGCAAAAGCTAGTTTAGGGATATAATACTTTATGTATATTTTTATCAAAATTAACTTCTTATAACTTGTCCACGACAATGTGACACCCCCTGGCGTTAAATTTGGATCCGCCCTTATCGACTTAGGTCGACTAAATTTCCAAACACTCTTAGGGTGACAGGAGTATTATATGCAGGATACAGAGATTGGTAAAACAAGTAGAGCAAGTGTTTGGGTGTCAGGTAAATCTGGTCGAAAAGAACAACGCAGTCACTATCACCAGCCTATTATGTCCCCATTACTGAGGTACAGGCCTACCCCATTGCTGAGGTACATATAAATGGAATTGAATACTACGCGTGTTCCAGGTGAGTGTTAAGGACAGTAGATACAGCCGGGGCTAACATCTAAATAGAAAAATCTTTTTTTGGTCACCTATCTTATGACCAGCCTTTGGAATAGCTGCTTCACTGAACAGAACCGAACGCGCTAACATATTTTAC